GTGCCCTCTAAATTATATAAATTTTACAACATAGTCTACACTGTACAAAAAGTCCAGTTTTTTACAGAAATTTACTTTGTATTTTCTGTTGATATACGTAAATTCTTGCTGATATACATACTTTTCTGTTGACTTAAGGGCTCATACATTGACAGAATGTTAGTTCCGCAGTAACGAAATATGTTATTTTACGTAAAATAATCTTGGTCGTTGTGTCATTTAATAACAATTACGTTATTTGTCAGTAAATTTCCGTAAATTTTGTGTTATTATCATGTATGGCCAAACTTGTTTGTAAATAAGCGAAAGTATGCGTGGGCATACTATTTTTTTTGACAGGAACGTTATTATGTTTCCTTACGGAAAATAATAACAGGATCGCTGTTAATTTACGGAAAATATGATTTTGATCTGTAATTTGAATCACAATAAATCGTCAACCGTAATTTGGTCACAAAATATTCGTCCACGGTTATATTTTGTTCACAGTAGGTAGGCTATTCGTACGAGGTAAATTGGTCCAACCCACACCCATCACCATGCAGAAAATCAGCAATAACAATTAATGGAAAGTGCATGACAGGTTCAAAATTGGGTCCGCGAACTCTGGAAATCTTTTATACGCATACAAATCACACAGGATGATGCCGTGTATAGACCTTATTCACGCGTCGGATATAAATAATTATATGATACTAATTGAATCCAGAACCAGACTCATTACGCAAACCTTGGAAAACCTCCTACTCAAAACCCACTTCCTCGAAACTAATCATATTTTACATCATTAGATTTGGAATTAATGAAGGAATTTGACTTTCGAGAAGGTGGTCAGTGTTACGTGACAATTTCTTGCTCAGTCAAACACACTTAGGGATCAAATTTGATGTAGAATTTTCCTTTTTTCCTATTAAATACAGTTATTTATTGTAAAAAAAAAATTATTTGGTTCTACCACCTGATAGTAACGACAACTTTCACCACTCGGAAGTTTATACTACAATTAGTCGTAAACTTATTATAATTTTGACCTTACGATTTTTTGAGAAACGCCATTTTTACGATCAAATCAACACTTGCGACCCACGACTGATCATAAGATTTTTTGAGAAGCGGAGCCCTGGAAACCTTTTGCTTTGTAAGAGTAATTAAAAATAAAGACATGTATAATTTTGATCAATTTATGACGAACTGGATAATTTGAGAAATTCTACTAACGATATTGGATGTTCACACAATTTCAAAAGGGGATAATATTTTCAACAACGATACTCTACTAGACCTACTGTATTGAAACGTCGTCTGCAATATGTTACCCCACGAACACCTGGCTGGATGTGACGCTAGTTGTAGAATGTGTCTATGAAATAAATCAAAGGAATGACATGGCAGGCATGTGTTCTCATCATTGGCAGATGCCATAATATGGCATATATATTATAAACATTGGATTTGACTGGTGGCTCATCCTCATTAACTTTAGAAAGCCAAAGTATTTCCATACTTTGGATTTTGTTTTGTCCCCTGGATGCATGGGCGCAGATCCTATGTCCCCCGCCCCCACAAATAGTCAAGCTTGGTTGAGTAGAATGTTTGTAATGGACGTAAAACATACACAATTTGGAATCCGAGAACATCAAACAATTTATGGTCGAGAGACAGGAAGACCATTCGTTCGTTTTGGGACCCATCTCCACTCACAGAAGTGTCGTTACAAATGGGGACAGGTAGCGAATTTTATCGTTCGCATATTTTCGTCGATCATATCAAGTGATCAGTACAAATGGAGGACCGCCACTGCGAGGACTTGCCTTGACATTTGATTGGTTGAAAGGCCTCGGCCGCCCTATAGATCACCTAGGTGGAAATTGAAGTTTTTAATTCAAAATTAATTTTCTCCTAGGTCGTGGGCACCCGTTCGATGACTGGAAAATTCAGTAACATGCAAGAAGGTGCCCTTCTTTCTATAATATTTCTGAGAGTTACAAAGAATAAAGATACGGTGTCACCAGCTCATCTGAAACGTTCTCATGCCGCTATACTCTGCAATCGAATTCATACCTACGGTCCGACCCCTTTGGAATTAATCCTGCGTATGCCACTGAACTTGATTTTATGCAAGAGATTGTTTTTATACGACCACATTTTCAGTTGTATGTATAATTAAAGGTGTAGTTAACATCATTTGCTCTGATTATTTTAAATGCACAAATAATATCAATAAACAAATAAAGTAAAAAAGTTTTGTCATTTTACAGAAAACAGATTTATTACCAGAATATACTTTTTAAAATTCTTTATTTCAGTGTATATTAAATCAATAAAAAAGATAGCTTGCCAGGCAAGGTAATATACGCCCACTTTGACAAATATTTAGCAGTATGAAACCACCAGTATGAAATATTCAACCTTCAGTCATACACTTCTTCTGAACTCTTTAGGGCGATACTGAATAATATTGAGTATGAGATATTGCCCTTGTTCTTGAAAACGTGTACAATTTTTAGCTCGTGAAAACTCTAGAAGGCAAATATTCAATCTTCAGCGCGAGACTGAATAATAAAACCAAGTTTTGTCAAAATCCAATATTTAGTTGAAACCTTTAAAATACCTAGAGAATATTTCTCTACAATTAGGCGTTTATTTTACTCAAATCCGTACAGTAATTTTCTAATAGCTTCCTAAAAGTATAACTAATTTAAAAACTTTACGAAATGTTTTTAAATATTTTTGGAGTTTAAAAATTAACAGCTGTGTTTCTTTAGTTAAAACTTTCAAAAAAGTTAATGCGTTTTTACTACGTCAAGGGCAATAACTCTGAAACCGTCCGTCCGATTATAACTAATTTCGAACTTGACTGAGATCTGATCAATACATACATGCATACCAAGTTTCATCAAGATCAGATAAAAACTAGTCTCTATAGTGCCTACAAGCCAAATTTGACACGTTTTTACCAATCAAGGGCAACAACTCTGAAACCGTCCATCCGATTATTACTAATTTCGAACTTGACCGAGATCTCATCAATACATACATGCATACCAAGTTTCATCAAGATAAGATAACAACTATAGCCTCTACCGCGCCTACAAGGCAAATTTGACTTATTTTTTCTAAGTCAAGGGGAACACTTCATTCGATTATTTTCAATTCCGAACTCGACCGTGATCTCATCAATATATACATGCAACAAATATATCAAGTTTCATCAAGATCTGATAAAAACTGTGGCCTCTATTGTGCCTACAAGAAATGTGGATGGGCCGACGGACAGGGGCGTATAAAAACTGTTCTTCGAAAATCTGTCAAATTTGAACTTGTTGAAGATGTTACCTGACCACACTCAGTTTCAAAAAAATGCTTCTATTGTTTCAACCTGTTCGGATTTGATTATCTAATCAAAGATTATATCATAATCAAATCTATTGTGCTCACCCAACAAATTTTGACGGATTTAACCAGGTCAAGAGCAATAACTCTAAAACTGTTCGTCAAAATGCTACTTCAGTGGCTCAGTAATAATAGCCTAATACTACCAGTGTCCCAGTAATTAAAGCTTAGTACTACCAGTGGCCCAGTATTTATAGCCTAGTACTACCAGTGGCCCAGTAAAAATAGCCTTATATTACTACCAGTGGCCCAGTAATTATAGCCTAGTACTACCACTGGCCCAGTAAAAATAGCCTAGTACTACCACTGGCCCAGTAAAAACAGCCTAGTACTACCACTGGCCCAGTAAAACAGCCTAGTACTACCACTGGCCCGGTATAAATAGTCTAGTACTACCACTGACCCAGTAAAAACAGCCTAGTACTACCACTGGCCCAGTAAAAACAGCCTAGTACTACCACTGACCCGGTAAAAATAGTCTAGTACTACCACTGGCCCAGTAAAAACAGCCTAGTACTACCACTGGCCCAGTAAAACAGCCTAGTACTACCACTGGCCCGGTATAAATAGTCTAGTACTACCACTGACCCAGTAAAAACAGCCTAGTACTACCACTGGCCCAGTAAAACAGCCTAGTACTACCACTGACCCGGTAAAAATAGTCTAGTACTACCACTGGCCCAGTAAAAACAGCCTAGTACTACCACTGGCTCAGTAAAAACAGCCTAGTACTACCACTGGCCCAGTAAAAACCGCCTAGTACTACCACTAGCCCAGTAAAAATAGCCTAGTACTACCACTGGCCCGGTAAAAATAGCCTAGTACTACCACTGGCCCGGTAAAAATAGCCTAGTACTACCACTGGCCCAGTAAAAATAGCTGTCATCATAATCATGACCTTCAAATATATTTGACATGTATTTGGAGAAATGTTTTGCAAGATTTGTTATTGGACATTTGTATTTGGACATTTGTTGGCTGAGTTTTCTGTTTGAAGAAATGCACTTGAAGATATGTTGAAATTTTTATTAAATTGATATAGTTGAAGATATTTTTGGCAAGTTTTACCACATAAATCGATGAGAAAGCCAGTGATTCTCGAACAATGATAATTTTAAGCGTAAATTTTGATTTCCTTATACAAATGTCGATTAAAATGACAAATATTGAATTTAGCATACAAATAAAGAGACAATAATTTACAATTAAGAAGAACATTCACATTTGGCTTGTGCTCACTCTACAGGCAACAATATTTATGAATTTTTTTTTATTTTGTGGGTCAAAGTCATTATATACATGATCCCTATCTATTTTCGTGATGGTCTGATAATTTTTCACTTAAATTTCATGTCTGACTTATTGAATGACAAATGTTGAATTAAGCACACAAAATAAGAGACAATAATTCAAGAATTAAGAAATAGTAACGAAGAACATTTACATTAGGCTTGTGCTCACTCTACGAGCTACAATTCTTTACAGATTCTTCTGGTTTTATGTTGTAGGTGAATGTCATTATGAAGATGATCCCTATTTATTTTCGTGATGATCTGATAATTTTTGATCGAAATGTCGTTTCACTCTATTAGCTATATAGTGCAACTTTTGGTCAAAGCTCTTTATGGATTCTTTTAATGTTTAATGATGTGATCCAATTAAGTTGGCTTAAAACTCTCTATAGACTAAACACGAGCCACATATGTCACCTTGCTTTGCTAGAATATCTTTATCATAAATAAGGATATTTAGCGCACTGATTTGCACAGATATATTACAACACTTCCATTCCGTTTAAACTAAGCAATATAAGACGTAGTAAAGAGTTATATAAGGCAACGGTGAAGCAAAATGAATGAATCGGAATCTTTTAAATAGTCTTGTGATATATAATAGTTACGAATTCTCTTGCGGGAGATGCGTCATTTCTGGTTAACTCTCTCTGAATTGCAGGAACAACAGACATTGGACAAAGAATGGGAATGTCCCAAATAGAAGTCGAAGGTATCCCAAATATAGTAATGGTGCTACCCATTCTTGGCCTTTGACAGCACTATAATTGTTAGCCTTTGTTAGCTGCTGCGATCAGTGGATTATTACTAACGTGTTATTCTTTGTTAGCTGTTGGTAGATAACATGTACCTCTGGAGGCGGAAAGCTATTAATAACTTTTTGATAAGATAAGCTAACAATAAGTGAATCGTGTGGTGCAATGTATTATTATTAAATGTTTTATTTTTTCAGATATAAAGGAGGATTTATAAGATGTAATTTGACCAAAACAGAAAAACCAAAAGCAATCTCCATTGTTCTACATTCCCAAATCAAAAAGAACAGAAATTTTACGCCAAAAATTAAACTAACAGTTCAATATCCGTCAAAATTTTTGAGAAATTTTACACGTTGTGTTCCAGCTTTTTATAATTTCACAGATCAAAATGCCTTGATACAAATGTTAGAGAGTGACTTAATGTTTGGGATGAATCATTTTATAATGTATAATTATACTGGAATGACACCTAAAATACAACAAATTCTCAAATCATATCAAGATGAAGGTGTTCTCACACTGCTCCAGTGGAATTTACCTGTGCTTAAAAAAGATATTCATTATTTTGGACAAATGTCTAATATGCATGAATGCATTTTGCGCAATATGTACGTTTCTAAGTATGTATTTATAGCCGATGTAGACGAAATCGTTGTAAGTGATATGTTTTCTTCATGGCAATCAATGACTTCCTCTATCCTTAGTAAACATCCTAATTGTGGCGCCATATCGTTTAGAAATGCTTTCTTCCCAATTATCTTCAAAGATGGTGCAGTAGATTTCCCTGGTAAAACAATTGCTCGAAAGATGGGTTTAACATTTTTGTTGAAAACCACTCGTACCAAACTGCATACTATAGGAGATCGTTCCAAACTGTTAGTTCGACCAGAAACAATACACCAGAT